CTTGTTTCATGAATAAATAAATGCTGTGGACAGTTTTATCACTGCCACAATACTTAAATGTGCTTCCACAATTTCTACATGGCAGTGGCTGTGGTAAGAGGACTTGCACAGTTTGTGCAAATGCTTGTACAGAGAAAATCACATCTTAATAATTACTTTTCATATAATGCAATTTCCTGAGCACCAACAGTTTTATCTGGTGTGCTTTTGCTGAGTAGGATGCCACCACTCATGGCAAAAAAACTGTGATAATTCAAACGGGTCTGACAGGATCAGGAGTCAGAAATGCAAGTCAGCCGTTGGATTGCAAGATGCAGAGCAGTCATGGATGGTGATGAAGCAGTGACAAAGCTTCTCTATTGCAGCTTGTCAACAAATAACAGGAGGATGTAATTTTTTATCTCTTGAACTTAGCTCAAAATTAAACCCTCATAAATAGATTTATATTTTCTGGTGGCTGTTTTCCTGATTAGAGTGGTGTCACTTCCATTTCCAAAACCTCTGCCCACTGGTATCTTACAGTCTGATCAATTATTTTGAGCATACTCTAATCATATTTGACATTTTTTTAAAAAAATATGTATTCCCTTGTGCATTAGTTTAGCAGTTTGATTTAGATAATCAGGTCTTGTCCATGTATTCAAATAATTCAGGTGAGTTTTTCCTGGTTAGATATGACAGTATAGGATAATGGATTTGCACAGTTTTTTAGCCAAATCTGAAAACATTTGGATATCTTGAGTCAGAAAGATCTTTGACCTGAAATTTAATTAAGGAGTGGAAAATAGGAAAAGGGGGTGGATACAGGAAAAGATTAAACAAACAACAACAAAAAAAATCTCTGTTCCTTCAATGTTTTGGTCCTGTTAAATGGTGTAAAAAACTCTTGTCATAGAATAGTTGAGCCTTATAAATGGTATAAATTTGAAAATTAGGAAGAGTGGAAAATGAGAATGTTGTAATTCTATTCCTTTCTTCCTTTTTAACAAAAATGAGCAAGCTGCAGGGAAGAATAAAAGACAGCTGAAGTCGAAGGAAGCACATTTGTAGCCATCTATGTCCTAATGAGCAACATTAGGAAGCCATATGTAAGTATTTAGCCTTGACTGTGACGGATTGAATACATTTGGGCTTGTTTGGAGGAAACAAGGCCAAATCTATCAAGTGCTGAAAAAACAGTTGGAAATTCTGATTACTACAAATGGAAACTGAAGAGCCATCCTCAAATGCTTTCACCTCAGATGAGGTGAAAGTTTCAGTTCTAGTGTCAATGCTTATGAGACAGGTAAGAAATAAATTTGCAAATTACATTAGTTATTCTTAAATACTTTGTTGGATGTATAGTGTTTCGTAAGTTCTGTAATGCTGAAAACCAACTTTCATAAGAAAAATAATCTAAGAAAATTATTTGCATTTTTGTCGTACAGGACATTAGACTTAGATTATTTTGGTAGACATCAGATCTTTGTAAGGCTTTGACTTGACTGCCCTGAGAAGGGGCTTTGGACACAGGCAAGTTATGCCAAACTAAAAATCCACATGACCTGAGTTAGTCAAGAGTTAAAGAGCTTTTAGCTGAGAAGAGAGCGCAGACCCAAATGATCTGTGTCCAAGTAAAATACTTCAGTTTGATCAATAGCTCAAAATGAAATACAGACCTCTTAGCAGTGGGGGCAGTCTGGTGTGTATTTGTCTTCAGCATGTGCAGGAGAGACACACTTCCCAGCTCTCACAGGCTCCCAGCCAGAGCCAGAGGTGATGCTTGGTTCAATGTAATTTTGTGTTTAGTCCCCCATAGATGGAGAGGAGCTGGTATGACCCAGTATTTGTCTCAGGCAAGCAGAAGGGCCTGGTGAGGTGCATGTACCAATGCCATGTAACACTACAAATAAAATTGTCACTGAAAGTAATGCTCTTGGAAAGAAGGAATAGCAGTGACAGGTTTGACTGGAAAAACTGTAATTGAGGGAAGTCTGGAATAAGCAATGTTATCAAATTGGTTTTCATCAACAGCTAATACAAATTTAACTAAGATCTCTCGGGTTCAGGCTTCATTATCACCTAATGCAGGCTGAACACATCTATCCTGGAGTCATTGGAGATTTGATATAACACCTATTTAGAGAAGTAATTTACAAGTGTAAGTCTTATCTGTATGGCCAAAGATGTTCATAATTTGTTTAAAGATGTTTGCTTTGTATTTGTAAAGATTGAATTTGCTATCAGGATATTAGAGTGGCAGTGACTAAGTCTTGGCATATGTCTTTGAAGAAAGAATCTCTTCGCCTTCTGTTTTCAGAAAACTGAATGTTGAGTCCCTCTCTCTCTCAGTTGTAAATGTAAAGTGGGAGTCTGAACATGTGTGTGTTTTAAAATCCTGTAAGCAAACCAGATTTTTCAGAATAGCATCATACTAAGAAACCTAATAGTTTTTCTACACCTCCAAAGACACATATAGCACCTTCCTGTCCCTGCCTGTGTGCTGTGCTCCTTCCTCTTGCATGATTTTATGGAGAAGTTATCTGAAACTTGTATTCTGTTGTTCCTTCATCCATCCCTCCACTGAATGACAGAATTCTTCTGCCACCTAAGCTGCTCTGAGTAATATCCTTGTGGTTTTATACACTTTGAGAGCTAAGGATGTGTGAGATAGAGGTGAGGGCTATCTTAGATTGATGGTGTACAGCCAAAGATACTGCAAGTTAATGGAATTGCTGGGAAATTACACCAGTGACAGTGAGGTTTTCTTCTGCACTTTTAAAGTATTTGTGAGAATAGTCTGAAAGTATTCATTTTTCATGGAGCCCTGACAAATAATATCTGGATCTTTACTTGCCATAGATGTGGGAAAAAATAGACAGTAAGGCCTTTAAAATATGAAAATCAAGTAGGATCACAAAGATTCAGAAAGATAAGTAACTCCAAAGAAAAAAATCAATAAACCATGTCATATAAACAACTTTTATGTAAGTGATAAATCTCTCTACATCTGTCGACCAGTGTAAAGGGTGGGTTTTAGCTTTCACATTTATGTACACTAGGTACATGATCTCTTAAGTAAAATCTAAAGGTAAGACTTCTTAGAGCAGAAATGAGATGGCACAGGCAGGCTCTTCCACTCCAGACTCAAGATTTCCAAGAGAAATAACCATCTTTAGTGTTCTTAACTACCTCCAAGCCAAAATACACCATTTTTAGGCACCTATTTATGTTGTGGTTTCTAGATGTGGGACAGTAACAGACAAAAGTGATATGAGAAGAGTAACACTGAGGACCACTGATTTACATGGACTGGAAACTTAGGAGAAGCAGAAAAAGGAGAAGGAATAAAGTTGGCCTGTTGGACATTGCTCTTGGTTATACTTGACCTGTTCTAGTTGAAGTAGTTCTTTTTGCCTCTGGCCATTTCCTAATGTATTTTACCATTAGATGTTGCATTCCTTACTAGATCTTGAGTGGTGTGTATAGGCTTACCCCTGCACAGTTCTCTTTTCAGGCATCCTTTTGACTTTGAATAACCTCAGCACCAGTTTTTAAAGGTTTGAGGTTACTTATGTAATTCTGCAAAAAGAGATTTGTGCTGGAAGCTACTCTGAAATATGTTCTAGATGTTTACATTGTTCAGTCAAAGAACATTTGATTTTTTTTTGTTGTCATGGAGTTGTGGGGCTCTGCTACTATAAAGCACTTTTGAACCTCCTTAAATCCTTTTGACAAGATTCTTAAGACAGATTTTATATTATTAATACATAAAAGGAAATCCTTAAGAATTGCTAGTAAATAATAAAATTAGAAGAGATGATTGCTCATTTACAGCTGGCCTGTATCAGCTTAATTTTGAGTACAAGATGCAGAGTTTTGCAGGTCTGTTACTATCCAGACACTGAATTGAGCACTGCTGCTCAGTTCTCCTGAAAATTATTTTGGAGTTTAGCTTCAGTGAAATGCCTTGAAACAACATATTTTTAAAAATAAGTGCTTATAAATTCCCTCTAGAAGTCACCCTCCTACTTTGCTGCCTCCCTCTTACTTTGCTGTCTCACCTTACAAATTCAAATACATTAATTTGGAAGAGGCGTATCTTTGATTGTTCGTTACTCAAGATAACCCTTGCCAAAGTCCCCCAAAAATGTAAGAGCACTTGAGAGGTGGGGCAGCAGGATGGCTGCCTAGCCCTGATGATCATCTCAAGGCTGATGTGGTAGGACTGGCTAAAAGGGTGAGATAGGGCCCCTGGGAGATTGCCAGCAAGTCACCAATTAATACTAATTGCATGGGAAAATACTTTAAGGCTGCAATGGTTCATCAGGGACTGGAATGAGTTCATAGCTGTGCTGCACCCAAGAGCTCTGTGTCCTTTGGTATTTACTTCAAGAAGAAAACATGAAGTTGCTTGCTGCTCCATTCACTTGCAATGTTTGAAGATTTTAGCTAGAATTAATGTGGAGGAAGATGCAACATCTCACATCTAACATAGAGCTTGGCTTGGGAATATTTGAGTTAAACTGTAATACTCTAATTGGTTTCAGCAGGAATCATCACTGTCTCATCTTGAGCCAGACACTGCTTGTCATTTTCTCATAGGAAGGGAAACAAAGATGAAGTTGCATGAAATGTATGCACATGATAGTCCTTTCAAAACAAGATAGCTATGGACATCTGACGTTAAAAAGGGCTTTTGGCTTTGCCTCTTGGATTTCCAAGGAAAGCTTTGAAAACTGAGATTTAAGCTGCTGCTGTCTCCTCCTCTGCCTAGTGACAGCTGTAAACATCTGCTGAGGATGTCGCTTATTGTTTCATCCTCTAGTTGCTCATGAGGCTCATGAAGCATCGTCCCTCCTTGAAAATGGCCCTGAGCAGCCAGCGTGCTCAGGGGCTCTGGAGTGTGGTTCCCGGGGGTCGAGGGCAGCCGCTGGCTGTGTGCTGTGTCCCCGGGACCGCGGCCAGGCAGGGAGAGGCGCTGTCCCGGCAAGTTTGGGCAGGCGGGGTGGGAAGGGCACATTGCTCTGCCACCGCACTGCCATTTCGCCTCTTCGTCCTCCTCTCGAAAAGGCAGACGAGGCTTCCAAATCCTAAATTGCATTTTGTCTAACCCCTCCCCTATTCCGGCTGCTTGCTCATGCAGCCACCCACGGATCCGACACAGAAATGTGTGAAGCGAGGCAGGGAGTGCTGCTGCCAGTGCAGATTCCAGCTCCTCTCCAGGCGCCCGGTGCCCTGACACGGTGTCGCTCCCGGACACAGCCGAGCTTTGGCTCATCATGAACACGTAAGCGTTTCTCTCCCGCTCCTTCTCATCACCCCGCACTCCAAGAAGGAGAAAGGAGAGGTGCGGGGCTGCGGATGAGCGCGTCTTTGTGCCCCTGCTGTCCGTGCGGGCTGACAGAGGCGGCATTGTTCGCAGGCTGTGCCCGCCTGGCAGCCGCGGGAGCTGGGATCTGCGCCCTGCATGCGGAATCGGTGAGCGGCCGAGGAGCCCCAGAGCTGCATTAACCCCGCAGCGCCTTTGGAACAGCCTCTCCCTCCTGCTGTCGGCTGCACAGTGCAGACTGGGTCTAGGATGAGGAGCCCTTGTTAATCAAAGGTAATATTTTTGTCTGTAGAGTAGCGTAAGATAGTGGCTGTTGCTGCCGTTTGGTTGTTTATTAATATAAGAGTGATACACCAGGGAGGAAAGTTAGGAAGTCCTCTGTGCTCCGCAGGAGAATAAAGCTTCATGGTGGCATCGTGCTGAGGGTCATTGAAGTTTGTCTGTTCCCCTTTATGTGGGCTCAGTTTGCATTACCAGTAATAAGAAAATCTGCATGTGTTCCCATCAGAGGAAGACTATTCAATTTCCTTCTCCATCTTACTTTTTAAGCCAAAATTTACTATTTATGTGCAATATTAAATTAATTCTGCTATTAGAAATACATAGATATATAGCCATTAGGCAAGGTAAATACTTCTTATTAGCAGAGACATCCTCGCTCCTCAAGGTACTCCCTGGAGTACAATGCATCCTGTAGAGTGGTAAAAAAAAAATAACATTTGTTGCACATACCTCAGCAGAAAGAAAAATCATTGTTGCATTTGTTTGTCCAGCCACCTTGCAATAACTGTGATTACATAGACTGTGCCAAACAGATTTTTCATTGTTGTGCCAGTATTTCTCATGCGCTCTTAGTACTTCAATCCTATTTTAGTGGTTTTTAAATGGCTATTTTTTAAGTTTCTAAGTAAAGATATATTTTGTCCATGTGTTTCCTGTTCATATTGCTGTCTGTTCTTTGTGGTTGTTAAGGCTGTTTTTGAAAGTGTGTACTGCTTTTTGAGGATGATAACAAACATGGTCTTAAAAGCACAAGGCTTGTGGCTGTTGCTCATTTTTTGTGCCCGGGTCGACATGCTTTTGGGGTGAACGGGCTCAGCTGCATTGAAGACTCCCCACATAACTCTAAATTTGGATCTTTTAATAACACAAATGGTGTTTGAAAGGTTTTTTTCCTAAGAAGAAGTTAAAATGAGGAGAGTGCAGTTTGTGTGCTGCAGAACTTTACTCAGTTCTGCCAGTGCTGTGCCGTTCGTTCTGTGCCATTTGGGAGAACACAGCTTGTACCTCCTATTTGCCCAATGGCACGTAGCAGCCCCAGAGGACACACGCTGCTTTTGTGATTCTGTTCAGTTTTAATCTTTAGGGAGCAACTGTTTCAAAGAATAAACACATTGCCTTGTAGGAGAAACTCCAGAAAACATCCTGCTAGTGACAGCGGCAGCCGCTGCCCATCATCCTGGACGTTCCTCTGCCAAAAACGACAGGGCTTTGTGAGCTGGCCAGCCAAAGGCTGGGAGCTGCAAATTCTGTATTCCCGAGGATGGCCAAAGGAAATCACATTTCAAAGCACTGAATTAAAACTGTGAGGCTGCTGGCTGCTGGCTCAAAATGCAGAATCTGTGTTTATCCTGGCCCCCTCAGCCCAAGGATTTCTAGCATCCCCTTTCTGCAGGAGTGTCCTGCCCATTAATCCCTACACATCCCTTGGCGTTGGGGCTGGTTGGGCACCAAGCAGGCAGATATGAGCCTGCTCACTCCCTCCACACTGGCTTTTAGGTTAAATCAAAATTGGTTCTTCATTATTTTGAATACACCGCCTTATAGTGGTGTAGACCCTGCTACTTTTCTTTTACTGATTTGTTTTAACTGGCAAACAAAGTTTCATTTGCTGTTAGTTTAAAAAAGTGGAATAAATACATGTCCCAGACAAAACAGTGTTTGCTAGATGTTGCGTGCCTCCCTTATACAGTGACTTTTATAACCCATTTCCTTCAGAGTATATGACATTAAATGGGCAGGGCCGATATAAGATAAATAGCTTTTGCTTACAAAGTAAACTTCAGTCTATTGTATATGTTTCTGTAAACAAAAAGATGCAGCAGAGTTTGGGATGGATATAAGCACAGGTAGGGGTTTTAAGATAATGTTTTAACAGGCACTTCATCATTTTTTTCAGCCCAGAAGCTTTTGCTTCCTCACTGGGAGAGCCTGTATGAAGACCTGTGTGGGTGATGTTATAAGGTAAGGAATACACTTTAGGCATGTTCTTTAATTAATCTTGCATTGCTACAAAGTGTCTGTGTGCTCCACTCTATCTGATTTCTTCTCAGAGAGACTTGTATATGGTTCTCCTTTGTTTGGTAGTAGGAAATAAATGAACAAAACCAGTGGTTTACAGTGTAGATGATGATATATCTTAAATGGTGTTGAATTTCGGTTTCTCTCCTACTAACCTCAAACTGTCCCTTTGGGGAGAGGCTCGTGCTGTGTGTCTGGAGGACCTCTTGGTGCAGCATCACCAGCAGGGTTTTATTCAACTTGGTAATGTCACATTAAAACAGGAGTGTGCAGTGTGTTTTCTGATTCCCAGAAATACTGTCGCTTCATGGCCTTCCCCTGCCAGCTTTAGTGTCACCTTTCCATCTACACTCTTCTCTGTCTGGGTGGCAGTCCCCATCATGTCTATTCCCCTGCAGTGCACTCGAGGCTTTTATCCACAGACAGACTGACGATCAACAGACAGAACCATTCTCACCTCCTCTCCCAGGCCCTGTGTTTTACTCTACCTCATACACTGAGTGACCAAGTAATTTGTCAGTAAATAAAGAATCTATTTGAAATAAATTGTTGAGGAAATGTGGAACTCTTCTGATTTGGGCTCCTAAAAGACAGGCTTTCATGCTAGGCAGTTCACACAGCCTGCATGCATGTTACAAAGTCCAGCAGTGTTAGTATAGTACAGCTGTGCTGCATGTTTCCTTAATCTGCTTGTTTAGAGACACCCAGAATATTCCTCTTAATCATTTCCGCTGCATAGTAGGTACAGGAGGAAATACCAGGGAGAGCCCTGTCACTGGGAAAATGCATCATTTGAATGTGTAATGTAAATATTTTAACTAACCAAATGTAAACACTGTTTTGCCTTTAGGATGGGAAAAGACTGTCACAGTCAGAAATGAGCTGACATAAGAGTGACCCTGTATAGATGAGATACAAAATTGTGTTCACACATTTTGATAATCAAAACAGAGCCCTTAATGAATTGCCTGGTGTGAAAGGAATTACAAACACAAATGTGCCTGACACAAGGCATTCGGAAGTTGCTGCTGTATTAATGCTAGAATGAAGGACTTTTCAGGATTCATGGGGATCCAAGTCTATGGGGAGGATGATGGGAGATGAGAGAGATAAGATAATGAGAGATGTGCTATGGTGAGGGCTAAACAAAGGCTGGAGAATCTCTGGAGGGAAACCTAAACTTGTAAGTATGCTCTGAATGTCCATGCTCTTCCATGCCACTGACTATGAGTTGTGTTCACCATGCCAAGACAGTCAGTTCTGAAGTTTTCAAGGGTTAGAAGATGGTAGAAGCAACAGATATACTAGGTTCTGCAAGAAGCACCTTACTGCATTCACAGGTGTGCTGTGATTTTTCAGCCAGTGGATTCAAAGAAAATCAGAGTTCTTGGGGAGCTCAGAGTGGTTGCTCATCAGTTCTGCCTAAACTGGCTTCATAAGTGCGTGAAGACTTAACGATCAAGTGGTGCTTGACAGAAACCAAACACGTGGTTTAACTTTTGGTACTGAGTGTGGTCCTGAAAAACAGTGTAGGATCCAGAATCCTCCCAGATTCCACTTGACTTCATTGTGCAGTAAATGGTCTTCGGGCATTCGCTAAGCAGAAGAAACATCTGGAGATGATTTCATTGGCTCTGTATTCTAGCCCTTGAATTGTTAAGGGGACACAGAGGATTTGTCTAGACTCCATGGATTGCAAGAAACTGGTTAGATCTTATTTCTGAAGGCACAGGTACATGTAAATACCCAAGTGAGTAAGCTTTCATTACTGGAATAGCTGGGGGATTTTTCAAGGTTGATTTTTGCTTGTATTATCAACAATGGATAATGCATTAACATCTGCCTCACATTTGGTATTTCTTTGTTCTAACAGCTGGAAATTTACATTTACACATAGGCCTCAGAGCTAAAAATGTCATTCCTTAGGTTAAAAACCCGTAATGATTTTTGTTGTTCTCCTTGATGGGAAAGGAGAACTGAAAACACAAGGAAAAGACAAACTGGAAGAGTAGCCCCCAGATGATAAATGCTCTCAGTTGGAGCAAGGATTAATCATGTATAGTGTAGCCTTAAAAGTGTTATTGTCTGCCACTACTACAGCAGTTTAGCTATAGCCAAATGAGCAAATCTATCTATTAAATTATCTAAAGAAAGTAGAAGAAATTGAATATTAAACGTCACCAGTGAAGAGAAAATACAATGGCTTTTTTTTCAGTGCAGAGGATATTAAGAGCCCCTCTTGTGTGGATGAGAAGTGTTCTGCATAGATGAGAATAACTTTAACATTATCACAGAATCAGACTTGTGTTGCTAGAAAATCTAATCATTTTGTGCAGTAACTTCTTTTAATTATTCTCTTGAATACAGATAATCTAAATTTCCTTTATCTCCCAGATAGATGTATCAATTTTCATGGGAAAGCATTAAAACAGTCAAAAGTAAGAACTTAATTTTTTTTCCTTTATGAGCAGGAAGCTCATATACTTTTGCTAAAGGAGCTGCATTGTGCCTTTGAAAAAAAAAAAAGGATTTATTAGATTCTGTGTTTTAGCACAGGGAAAAATGTAGAAACAGATTACTCTGTAGTGCTAAATTCACAGCATCATTTTTCTAAAATTAAGTCACATTATTTGAAAGCTGATGAGAGAGAGGGAATTTAAGAGATGGGAAGTGCAGCTGAGAAATTTTTGGAAGGAGATTGTAAACTTCGGGGTAGAAGAGAGTTAGATTAAAGAATCTGTGAGAGTGGGAATAATAATATGAAGAGGAACAGACTGTGCTGATGATATCTTTTGGCCAAGGTTTTGAAAATAATTCAGAATATGATTTGCAATCTCTGTCTTTGAGGGGGGGAATGGGAATTTTTCCATTTACAGTAAAGTCAAGTAAGAATGTCATTGCTCCAGCTGTTAAAATATTTTGAAATCTACTTCAAACTGATTATTTATTGCAGTGTTAAGTATAGACTATTGTGGACAGAAGAAAAAGAGAAATTGGAATCAATCCCAAAAAGTGGGTTGAGAGTATAATTTATGCTTCCCTGAGAGGGAATGGGACTGCTAGTCCAGTTCAGCTCATTCCACCCCAGTTCTCTGAGAGACTGTTGTTTTAGGAAGCCTCTCTGGATAGATATAGCTGGAGGTGAACAAATTTCAAGGTTCAAATCTGCAAGAGAAACTTGGAAACCTCCATCAAAGGCGCAGGGGTAAATAGGATGCATATTTTGAGGCTGAAAGTCCCATCTGAGTGTGACTTCACAAAGCATGTGAGGACCACGGCATCCCAAGCATCTCTGGCATGATTTACACTTGAGAACAGACTTGTGTCAGGCAGAGTTTCTGCAAAAGGTGGATGGGCTACATGGGCTGCTCCTGTGCCTACAGCATTGTCAGAAGCCCCTTTTTCATCATAGTACAGAGCAGACCGTGATCTTTGCCTGTTCAGTCGTTTCTATGTAACAATCTTCACATTCATATCTACATATGACCAGTTCCAGATGAATACCAGTAACTTTCAGCATTAGATAAATATATCTGTGAAATTAATTTATCCTTGTGCTGCTTGGACTGTCAGTAGCCTTGGACAATCTGCTGTCATCAAACTGACTTGGGTTCTTAGTTTTGTTCGTGGCACAGCCAATTCCATTTCAGTGTACATGAATTAAAGAGAGTATGCTGTAATAATATTTTATATTTACACAGCACATCTCATCCCAGAGGACTTCATAAATCATGTATATGCAACACCTCTGACCTTTGGCAGTCCCTTCAGAGCTGGAGAACAAGCGTTTTACAAAAGCAATAAAACCATAGGAATTTTTTCTCTGTAATACTGGGGGGAATGCACTAATTACAGAATGAATTTTATGTTTCATAAGCTACAGCTTCAGTTCGTTAAGATCTTTATTGAAAATGTATTCAAGATAAGATGCATGATCCTACTTATGTACACCACAAACAAAGAGCTAATCCATCCTTTTAAAACTGGACCCTCTGGAAATATTTCACTCTTGCATGTAAACGAACATAAAAGTGTCACTGCCTTTATACCTTGGCTGTCGTAAATCAGTAAATCGTCACCTCTTCCTGAAAGACCTGCCCAAAATGCTGTAGCCTGCATTCCCCCTCAGCTGCCACACATCCTCCCATCACAGTGTGAGAAATACAGATGCATGATAGGAATTTACTTGCTTTTGAAGAATTCAAATATAACTGATCCTCTGATATCAAGCTGAAGAAATTCAGCATGTCTGCATTTGGTCAGCATATGCAGAGGAGGGATGAGCAAGGCCAAAGGAACAAGGTGGAGGAGGATGATGATTAATTCATCTTCCTGGCATTCAGTGCCTCTTCCTGTCACCATTAGGAGGATGACCCAAAGCCTGTGGGTATCAGTGTCTGTCCCTGCTGCACTGGTCAGGGAGGGAGGCTGTGGGACCCTTTGTCTTCCCAGGGCATCCTTCTTGTGGTGCACAGATGCTCAGCTTTACAGAGGTAATGTGCAGCATTACCTCTGACTCAATGGGGTCTGATTCCTTCACTTGGAGAAAAAGCTCCAGAGGAGCTGCTTTCCTGAGTTTTAAAGAAAATAGACATGCAGCCTGTTCTAGTATAGTCTTTGCCAAGCCATTTTGTGTGTTGATTTGGGCCTTATTTAGGCCTTATCTGTTGTTTTAAGCAGAAGGACAACATTTCTATTTCAGTTGTACAATTCAGCAAATGGATTACAAAACCACAGTTAGCTATGACTGTCATGGATGGTAACCCAGTTAATAATAGATTCAAAGAATCTTTAAGTTTTCAGTGTATTGTTTTGCCATTTGTCTCTCTTTGTAGCTTGTCTGGATTTAATATCATTTATTCCATTTAGGAGCATTACTGAGACAAACCCCATTAAAGCGGGCATTATAGTCCTTGTTTTGATTAGCACTCAAGGCCACTAGA